GGCAGAGCACAGAGGCTCAAGCTTGTAATCCCAGCACTTTGGGAGGCTGAGTTGGGTGGATCATTTGAGTTTAGGAGTTCGAGACCAGCCTGGCCAACATGGTGAAACCTCGTCTCTACTAAAAATACAAAAATTAGTCAAGCGTGGTGGCAGGTACCTGTAGTCCCAGCTACCCGGGAGGCGGAGGCACAAGGATGGTTTGAACCCAGGAGGCGGAGGGTGCAGTGAGCCAAGATCACGCCACTGTACTCCAGCCTGGCCAACAGAACAACACTCTGTCTCAAAAGTGCCTGGCCAAAAAGAAAAGTTTTTTTAAATATGAAAGAATTCATGGAAAGGATAAATGAATGAGTTGTGGACAGAACCGATCCTAGCTGCCTACGGGCAGCACCTCCTGGCTCACACCAAGAAACCAAGGCTTGGAAAGTCGCAACATCACCAGGGCCCCTATCCCCACTCCCCGCACCCCAACCCCCGATGCTATGGAACATTTTGGAAGTGGTGGGATGCTGTCAGGGCTGAGGCCTGCTGGCTCCAGCATCTGAGCAGGGCTTCTCCTGGTCCGACTGCATCTATTTCGTTTCCCCCGTGAGTTACTGTATGATGGCAGGGAGGGCCCACGCCCCAGGCTATAATTGATAGCTGAATAAAGACACTTCAAGGTTCCCAAAGTGGAATGTGCACAGGAAACAAATTTAGGAAATCCTGCTTTCTGTTACAGGAAACGAACCCTACGCCAACTGATAGAAATCACTCCAGCAGCTCCCAAGGAAAACCCATACTGGTTTCTATATGTATTCCATGAACCACCTTGCCTAGGCTAGCAATGTTTTACTGATACTGAATTTCAAAGGCACAATTCTAGAGCCAGCCAAGTCTATGTGGAATCCTACAAGGACCTGGAAACAGCATAGCATTCCGAAAGATTTTACTTGAACTAGATTTAGCCTCCTTCAAGCCTCATAAGGCATTTATATAAACCTCTGTGTTTGGCACGAGGCAGCCTCTTAAGTAGTTTCGAAAGCTGATCAGGAAGACAGTAACAGTGACTACACCTTTAGTTAGTAAGATTGTGGGTTACTTTTCACTTTTCTAATCAAGGCATTCAGGTGTTCTACCATAGACATAAAATAACTATGCAATACAAAATAATAAAGTTGTAAAAAAAAAAAAAAAAAAAAAAAAAACAGTAAAAAGGTAACACTGGTCTCTGAAGACACCAAAGGCCAAAAGAAAGTAGTGAAGACACCAAAGGCCAAAAGAAAGTAGTTTTTTTCCTCAATCATGATTCAGAATCTTAGAAAAACAAGACAAATCTGAATCCAAGTGCAGTTCATGCACAGAAGAGATAAAGCACCATTCACTTTGAGAAAAAGGAGCCGAGAAGCACAAAGCAATCCATGAAAGACTTACCCTCATGGAAAAATCTTTGCACAGCCCTAAGAAAAATACACTGAAGTCCAATGGAAACAGAGGAGTGGGTGACAGGCATGAGAACCTCCAGAGATGGCAACGTGAATATCAGGGGCGTCAGGAAGGACTTGCTTCTCGGACGGCCAGCATCTGGAACTTGCTCAAATTTGAATCCCACCAGGTGCAGTGGTTCATTCCTGTAACCCCAGCACTTTGGGAGGCTGAGGCAGGCAAATCACTTGATGTTAGGAGTTCACGACCAGACTGGCCAACATGGAGAAACCTCGTCTGTACTAAAAAATACAAAAATTAGCCAGGCATGGTGGTGCATGTCTGTAATCCCAGCTACTTGGGAGGCTGAGGCAGGAGAATCACTTGAACCCGGGAAGTGGATGTTGCAGTGAGCCAAGATCACACCACTGCACTCCAGCCTGGGCAACAGAGCCAGACTCTGTCTCAAAACAAAAAGGGCCAGGCATGGTGGTTCACAGCTGTAGTCCCAACACCTTCGGAGGCTTAAGTGGGCAGATCACTTGAGGTTAGAAGCTCAAATAAAATAAAATAAATTTGAATTCCATCAAATACCCACAGGTTACTGGTTCCCAGTGCATAGCTACCAAAAATATGGCCCTCTCTGACACTGGTGTTCCATAGCACCATTCCCAAAGGGAAAACCATCATCCAACAGACTAAACCTGTCAAGCCACAGAAAGAAGAAATGATGATAAACCTGAAATTGTCCGTTACATGGCACAAGTCCAAGCAGAGCAGGATGATCACCCAAACCAACCCCCACCCGATCACCCAAACCAACCCCCGCCCTATCACCAAAACCGACCCCCACCCGATCACCAAAACCGACCCCCACCCAATCACCCAAACCGACCCCCAACTCCATCACCCAAACCAACCCCTACCCCATCACCCAAACTGAACCCCACCCGATCACCCAAATCGACCCCCACCCAATCACCCAAACCGACCCCCTACCTGATCACCCAAATCGACCCCCACCCCCTCTCTCTCTGCACACAATTCCCATCTCGGAAGCTGGCCGGGGGTGCAACATTTCTCCCTCCAAAAAAGCCTGGTTCAAATGTCAACAGTCATGGATGAACTGGGTTTTATAGCCTGAGCTGTTCCACAAACACCCTGCAGACTGGAAGGAGGAGTCTTAAAGAATGTTTTTAACAATATTCAAGATGATGGGAAAACACAAATGATAAAATAGTAAGTGAAAAAAGTAGGGTACAAAACTATATCTATAGGAAAATTCCTGTTTTAGAAGATAAATTGGAAGGTACTGAAAGGCGGCCAGGCGCTGTGGCTCACACCTATAATCCCAGCACTACTAGGAGACTGAGGTGGGCAGATGGCACCACCACACTGCAGCCTGGGCAACAGAGCAAGCTTCCATCTCAAATACCAACAACAAAAAAGCAACACCTCAACAACAAAAAGACCAGCAGACCAAGCAAAAATGGGTAAAGGATACGGACAGACATTTTTCCAAACAAGATACACAAACGGCCAGGAAGCACACGAAGACGCTCCATATCAGACGCCGTCGGGAAAACACACATCAAAACCCCAGTGAGAGGCCGGGCGCGGTGGCTCAAGCCTGTAATCCCAGCACTTTGGGAGGCCGAGGCGGGTGGATCACGAGGTCAAGAGATCGAGACCATCCTGGTCAACATGGTGAAACCCTGTCTCTACTAAAAATACAAAAAATTAGCTGGGCGTGGTGGCGCGTGCCTGTAATCCCAGCTACTCAGGAGGCTGAGGCAGGAGAATTGCCTGAACCCAGGAGGCGGAGGTTGCGGTGAGCCAAGATCGCGCCATTGCACTCCAGCCTGGGTAACAAGAGCGAAACTCCGTCTCAAAAAAAAAAAAAAAAAAAAAAACAAAACCACAGTGAGACAGGTTCCACGCTGACTAGAACATCTGGAAACCAAAGGACTAACGGTAGCAGGTACTGACCAAGATGTGAAGAAATGAAAGCCGTCACATGGTTTGCTGGTAGACACGTAAAACAGAGCAGCCACTTCTGGAAAACAGTCAGACGGTTCCTCAAAAGGCGAACTACAGAGTCCCTATATGACTCTGCCAACCCACTCCAAGGTATATACCCAAGAGAACTAGAAATGTACACCCACTCAATACCTGTACACAATTGTTCATAGCAGCATTATCTACAATAGACAAAAAAATAAAAAACCCAAACACACATTAATTGATGAATGGAGAAACAAAATGTAATATATCCAGAAACAGATTATTATTCAGTTATTAAAAGGAACGAAGTGCTGATGCATGGCTATGCACAGATGAATCTTGAAAACATTACACTCAGTAAGAGAGGCCAGTCACAAAAGGCCACCTATTGTATGGTTCCCATTGTTTGGAGTGTCTGTAATATGCAAATCTATAGAGGTAGAAGGTAGATTAGTGGGTGCTTTAGGACTGGAGGAATGAAGAAGGGAGGGGGCACAACAGCAAAGTGGGTACAGAATTTCCTTTGGGGTGACAGAAATATTCTCAATTTGATTACTATGATGGCTGCAAAAAAAAAAAAAATCCCAAAATATACGAACTGTACTAAGAAGCCATACTGGCAGGGCGCGGTGGCTCACGCCTGTAATCCCAGCACTTTGGGAGGCCGAGGCGGGTGGATCACCTGGGGTCAGGAGTTGGGAGACAAGCCTGGCCAACATGGTGAAACCCCATCTCTACTAAAAATACACAAAATTAGCTGGATGTGGTGGTGGACACCTGTAATCTCAGTTACTTGGGAGGCTAAGGCAGGAAAATTGTTTGAACCTTGGAGGCAGAGGTTGCACTGAGCCGAGATCACACCACTGCACTCCAGCCTGGGTGACAGAGTGAGACTGTATCTCAAAAAAAAAAAACAGTTATACTTTAAATGGGTAGATTGTATGGAATGTGGAGTTTATCTTAAGATCTTAATTATTTACATCTTTTTTAAAGTATGTGGTTTAAATAGGACCTTGTGCTCCTGTTATGCTGGCCTTCTGAGTTACAAAACAAAACCTCTAACTTTCCTAATTCAGGCTATAGCTCAAGTCCAAGGCTATTCTTTTTTTTTTTTTGAGACGGAGTTTCACTCTTGTTACCCAGGCTGGAGTGCAATGGCGCGATCTCGGCTCACCGCAACCTCCGCCTCCTGGGTTCAGGCAATTCTCCTGCCTCAGCCTCCTGAGTAGCTGGGATTACAGGCACGCACCACCATGCCCAGCTAATTTTTTTTTGTATTTTTAGTAGAGACGGGGTTTCACCATGTTGACCAGGATGGTCTCGATCTCTTGACCTCGTGATCCACCCGCCTCAGCCTCCCAAAGTGCTGGGATTACAGGCTTGAGCCACCGCACCCGGCTACCAAGGCTATTCTTTGTAGAAGACCAGTTCTTTCCTGTATCTGAAAATATGTCTCCCAGCAAGCCCTGCACCACGGCACCACCCTGGCTCCTGTCTGTCCTGACACACTGCTTCCTCAGGAAACCCCTAATTCCAGCACACAGAAAACAAGCAGGGCCTCTCCATGGCCCGCCACACCTGCCCAGGCTTACCTCATCAGGGCTGGATGCCTGGTACACGCGGCAGGAGTCTTCGTACTGCTTCTCGGCCTCAGCCTGGTCAGTCACACCGTTGGACTCATACACAGGAGTCACGTTGTGGCAGAGTGCAATGGCCTTCACAGCCTCGTGCACGCGGCTGCTCATGGTCCGTCGGACCTTGGTGGTGAGTGTGGGGCCCTTCTGGGCCGGCGGGTCCTGGGATTGCTATAGGAAGGAGAGATGAATAAGGAGGATGACCAGAGGAGGGAATGATTTGGAGAGTGTGGAAGAGCAGCCATGCAGCTATTGCTTTTCTTTCTACGTTTCCCACACATGGAACTCTTAGGTGTATCTACAAGGATGTTGCAAATAAATGACATGTAATGTTCGCGGTTTGTCGTTTACACTTGGCAAATAAATAAATAATAAACAGAGGAGGCTGAGCATGGTGGCTCATGCCTGTAATCCCAGCACTTTGGGAGGCCGAGGCGGGCGGATCACCTAAGGTCAAGAGTTCCAAGACCAGCCTGACCAACATGGTGAAACGCCATCTCTACTAAAAAATACAAAGTTAGCCAGTCGTGGTCGCGCATGCCTATAATCCCAGCTACTTGGGAGGCTGAGGCAAGAGAATCACTTGAATCCAGGGGGCGGAGGTTGCAGTGAACTGAGATTGTACCATTGCACTCCAGCTTGGACAACAAGAGTGAAACGCCATATCAAAAATAAATAAATAAACAGAGGAAACAATTATAATGTAACGAACGAGGATGATTCTACCTGCAGACTGAGTGAACCTATCTTCCCTGGGGTGGTGTCAGGGGCTTTTGACAGAACAAAGACCCCACCACACTGAAAGGGATCCTGGTATTACGGAACAGGGCTTCCCCAAGTGGGTACTCCTTTGCTGGGGGGCATCATGAGGTGTCCACCAGCACCCCTGTTCTCCAGATCCACTGGATGCCAGCAGCATTCTCTCAGCTGTGACAAGAGACGTCACCAAATGTCCAATGGAGACCAAAATCATCCTCGGCTTAGAACCACTTTAAGCTCACGATCTTCTTAGTTTACAACAGAAGGCAACTACCTGATCAAGTACCCTAGGCAAGTAACAACCATCAACACCCAGGGCAGTGCAGCAAGGTGTATCAGGAACAGCTGGAAGAAACCCTGGCTGGATGGGACTCACTGCCAAATGGTAGCTGGCCCTCCACTGAAGCTAGACATTCAGGAGTAGTGGTAACTGTGCTCGAGTTTTGCCTTGCAGGCTGACTTTAGACCCCAGCTCTTGCCTGAGAGGCAGCTCCGTGGTACACCCTGGTCTCCTCCATCCCTTCCTATATACCTGTCAACACGGCTCAGCCTCTGAAGGGCCAGGAATGGGGAAGTCTTGGAAAAACGGTTTTGAGCAACATGGTAAAGACAGCACTGAAGGTTCCCAAAGTTGAGCCTTATTCTTGGATGGGCGGGAAGAAGCTGGGAGACCTGCAGCAAGTGATGTCTGTTCTCTAAGCCTGTTTCCTGTCAATGAGAGGAGTGAACCAGAGGTGGTTTTCAACCCATGCTCCACACCAAGCCCCAGGAAACCCAAGAAAACCCACTTAGCACCACCAACTGCAGCGGGGTGGGAGACGCAGCCTGCAACTCCATTCCTGTGTCACACGTGAGGTGCCACCGAGGCTTCCCCCTTTTTTTTTTTTGAGACATGAGTCTCACTCTGTTGCCCAGGCTGGAGTGCAGTGGTGTGATCTCAGCTTACTGCAACCTCCACCTCCTAGGTTCAAGTGATTCTCCTGCCTCAGCCTCCCAGGTAGCTGGGATTACAGGCGTGCACCACCAGGACCAGCTAATTCTATTTTTCGTAGAGACAGGGTTTCACCACACTGTTCAGGCTGGTCTCGAACGCCTGATCTCAAGTGATCCACCCGCCTGGGCCTCCCAAAGCGCTGGGATTACAGGTGTGAGCCACCACGCCTGGCCCCTGCCCAGGCTTCCTTTGAAGAAAGGGTTCTACTGATTCAGAATATAATGAAAATTAAGACCACTGGGGAGAAAAGGCACTTGTTAACAATCTACAGCTCATGGTTCAGCACAAGCCAAACTCCCTCCCACCGGAGCAGCACCTGCCTGCGTCTCCAGCTGTCCCTCATGCCACTTTCCTCCTCGTTCACTCCGCTCCAGCCACGCTGGCCTTTCAGTTCTCTGGGCACCGCCAAGCTGCTTCTTGCCTGAGGGCCGCTGCACTGGCCGTGCGCCCTGCCTGAGACCCCATCCTCCAGCTCCCTGCAGCGCTGGCTTGCTCAGTCTCAGCATTCAGGTCTCAATTCAACGTTACCTCCTCAAAGAGGCGCTCCCTGAGCCCCTCACTTCACGGCACTCCACTTCCCTTTCCAGTGAAGTCACGTTTGGGCAACGTCCTGTGTGTTACTCTCTTCATTGTCTAAACTGTCCTATTGACCTGACGGGTCCCTCTCATTAGACCACAGAAACAGAGGGCTCAACTGATGGGTTATTCATCACTGTATTCTTAGTACCCAGGGCAGTGTCTGGTATGCAACAGATATTTGCTGAACAATTAAACAAATTAATAACTTAATACTGCCAAGGTGGTGAGGAGGAGTCCTCAAGGGACATGAATTTTTTTTTTCATTTTCAAGAGGAAACAACTATGAAATCAACCAACATCAGTTTCAGATTTTAAATCACAGATTTGGACAAAGGGTCACCTACAACATTCTTACTGCATCCACAGCTAACTGAATCATGGAGGCTAGAAATGTGTATGGAGTTACCGGATTCTACATTCCATTAAAAACATATTTACCAAACAGAAGAGAAGTGATCTGATCCTTTAAAATGAGCCACACTTTACACCCATGACACCCGATTGCCCAAAACAGAGAACAGATGGGTTACAAGAAACAAGAAAATGACTTTCATTTAATTTTTTAATACTATTTTTAGTAGCGGCATTAGACTCCTCAGGTAATTAGACAATTACTAAATTATTCTGGTCATGCGGGGACACGGTGCTCTGGCTTCCTGCTCTGTTAACCTCTGGTGTCAAGAGCACACGAGTTTCACTTCCAGGCCAAAGGGCACTGCATGGTAACAATAATTAGAGTAATGAATCAGAACTCCGGTTTAAATGAACCATTATTTTCCAAGTGCTTTTAATTATAAAGAATTTAACTCTAAAATTATAAAGAAAAGATTTACAGAAAGGTTCTCTATTGGAGAGACTAACTCGAGAACGTTTTTCTTTTTTCAAGTCTATAATTTACGTTCTAGCCACGAACACGTGTCTTCATTTCTGTCCACATTCCTCAGCACCTGGACCAAATCGTTATTTAACATTAGGTGCAATAACAAGACCTTTGACAAAGTAATTGCTGTGCTTGGCAAGTTTCAGTAACAATGGGTTTGAATGAAAAGCCGTACTGAGGGCATCCTTCATGAACTTCTGGATTTTGTAAAGCCATCTGATTTCATGTCTACAAAAGTCACATACTTCCACTAATATTTCAAACACGGGATAATACAGAGCTACAGGACCTCGTATTCCAGTTGAAACAACTCCCAAGCAAGGCAAAAAGAGAACCACCAATGGTCAGACGTTCACAAAGGCCTCACTTTTAGATCTGGGACCATCTGACAATGAATGAACTGGAGGACAACTATGATAGCCTGACCAACATCACAGGCCACAGGTTCAAGGCCTCCACCCACATATGTTTATTTCTCTCTTAAATTAACACTTTCCCCCTTTCCTACTAAGATGTTCCAGGAAGGAGAGGAAATAATCATTGGTGCTGAAACCGCCTCTTTGAATTGTTAAATAAAGTCTCATCTGCACACCAAACGGTCATGTGCATATATCCTTAAGGCACTGAGACTGACCAGGGGCTGTTTGGATGATGCCTGTCTTAGGTCTCGTCTTCAAACAACCTCACATTCCCCATATGGAAGAGTTTCACATTGTACAGTGTTTATCTCTAACCTCCTCCCCATCGGCCCTTTAACCTACACGCATTTCTTCTTACTTAAAAAATACCAGGGGAAAACAAAAACAGATGTGGCATCCACAGAGGCAGGTTATGACTCTTTTTGCCCTGGGGAAAAACCACCGGTCCCCTTACGGAGGGAGGGAGGAACAGCTCCGCACAAGGTCAGAAGTGACTTCATAGCCAAGCACAAGTCACTACTGGGAGAGGAATTAAGGTCTCCAAATACAAAGGGCCCTGACTTGGGCCTCTGGGTGGGTGTCTCAAGTCATATAAAGCCCCCGAGTCATTATAGCATTCCAGCCAATAAATGAGACACCAAAGTAGGGAAAGCAGGCTTCCATTTTCCATTAATAATCCACGACTAGGGCCATTTCCCGACAAGACCTCCAGCCTGTATTATAGAAAACAGTAATATAAAAATGAAATGCTGAACACCAGAAATGCCAATTTTCTTTCTAAATGCAGTTAAAACTTCACCACATATGGGTATTCATAATCTTAATGGATATTAAGAATGGGTTGCAGTTGACTGAAATTTTTTTTTTTTTTTTTTTTTCACTCTGTTGCCCAAGCTGGACTAAGTGGCATGATCACAGCTCACTGCAACCTCGACCTTCTGGGCTCAAGTAATCCTCCCACCTCAGCCTCCTGAATACCGGGACCACCAGGCGTGCGTGCACCATCATGCCCAGCTTTTTCTTTTTTTTTTTTTTTTTTTTTGGCAGGGCAGGGGTAGAGATAAAGTCTCCCTCTATTTCCCAGGCTGTTTTCTAACTCCTAGGCTCAAGCCAACCTCCCACCTCGACTTCCTAAAGTGCTAGGGTTACAGGTGTGAGCCACCGTGCCTAGACGGAAATACACTATTAAAGAGAATGAATTTCTGTTATGATAAACCTAACCTGCTGCCCCAAGAAAGCTCCGAGCTGATGACTCATTCACCTCAAAGGTCCACCATCACAGAGACAGGGTCAGGGCTACCACCTGTAAATGAATCAGCTGAGCTACAGACTGATTAAGTGACTGAGAAAATCCAGAGTTTACCGTTTAAGAGCAGCATTTCAATCAACTGCAGCCCATTCTTAATATCCATTAATATGATGTATGCCCATATGTGGTGAAGTTTAAACTGTATTTAGAAAGAAAACTGGCATTCCTGGTAACTCAACGTTCATTTTTGTATTACTCTTTTTTGTAATATAGGCTGGAGTTCATGATGCA